CTATGGTTATGGTTGTGGTGTCCATGTATGCACCCTGCTGTTATGTGCTGGATTGTTTCATTGACATCTTACACGGCCTGCAACTGGGGTTGTGCCTGGTGTGATAGACCCCAGCTTCTATGGATCTTGTACTCAGAGCATGTTCCTGTGCTGCCATGGTTAGTGCCTCTGGACTGTCCTTCAGTCCAGATTTGTCCAGCCACTGGTAGGACTTCAAGATGTCAGCCACCTCCTCTATCTGCCAGTGGTACATACTGTGCAGGGGCCTGTCCTTCCATGGTGGCTCCTCATCCTCCCCCTCTTCTTTCTTGGGTTGCTGCTGCCTGAGGTATTCACTAAGCACATGGTCAGTTGTGGCCATCTTACTGATGATGATACTCATCAGGATGCTTGTTTTCTCCTCCTGGACTGTGGTGCTGACACTCACCAGTCCCCGGCCTCCTTCCTTTCGCTTAGCGTACAGCTTCAGGGTGCTGGACTTGGTGGTTGAATGGTAAGAAGCTTCCTTGTCTTGATGTCGGTTGCTTCTATCTCCTCTGCCAGTTTATAATCCCAGCAAGGTGCCTGATCACCGGTAGGGCGTAGGTGTTGATAGCCCAGATCTTGTTCTTCCCGTTCAGCTGACTCTTCAGGACTTGTCTGACCCTCTGCACTGTCCTCAGTGTCTTCAGTGTTGCCTTCTGGTAGTGCAATCCAGTCAGTTTTGACTGCCTTCCCTCCAACAATCCCTCCGACTACACTTCTTCAGTTCGACTTGTACAACTGGCATGAAGTTGGTCTCCAGTGGTGTATGCCACATCCCCTTTGAGCTCCCGATGAACTCTTTTGGGATCTTGATCTTGTATAGTTCTAGGCATTCCAGGATTCAGGTATGGGGCATTGAGCCATAGCTTGGTCATTCTGGTCTTGCAATCTCAAGCAACTGTTCTGTCTACCAGCAGCTGGTGTTTTGCCCTTCTGGTATACCTATTCCTTTCTGTGGCCCGCTCATGTATTGAGCCATGCGCCTGTTCATCTTAGTCACTATGATGCCTGACAGGCGCTTCCATGTGGTGCTGAGGCAGGTTATTGGCTTGTAGTTGCATGGGACCAGTCCCTTCTGGGGATCCTTGGGGATCAGGACTGTCCGGTCTTCAGTTATCCATTCTGGGTGTCTCATCTACTAGCAGCTGGTTCATTTGTTCTACCATGTGCTCATGGAGTGCACTCAGCTTCTTCAGCCAGTAGGTGTGAATGATGGTTACTGGAGCCTGTTCAGGGAGGTCGCTGTGATTGCTATAAGCATTGCCTTTATGGGTTGCAGCCTTCTCCCATATACTCTTTCACTATTGCTCTGTCTCGATCCTTGGTGGTGCTGTTCTTTTATTTAAGTAGAGGAAAAGCCACTGTGTTGATTAAGAATGGTTTTGACTATACGCACACAGCCAGCCGGGTTAAAAAATTGGTATGGTGGGATTACATCATACTATAATCAATTACGTTATAAGTAGGTGAATTGTGTGACCCAACACAAAGCCTACGGTGAGCCTGTGGTGAGTCTGTAGAAATTTAGAAATAGTGCTGCCTTTGCATAGTGTGTACTGAGATCACAGATATCTCTTAATACTTAAATGTCACTCTCAATACATATCACAGACGAAATTGTTTAGAAAACAAAACAACATTGTACGGGACTGAAAGAAATAATGTTTATTTACTTTGTAAAAGCAAAAAAAAAAGAAGGAAAAAAATTCATATTAAAAAATGACCTACCACTTGTGTTTTGATTACTTGCAGTGTCAGGAATATTTAGAGTTCATCTGCAAATATTGACACGTTAACTCACAATACTACTACTAATAATAATAGTGAACATTGTGAACTATAGAATATGCAAAATGTCATTATTCATGCATCCATCCATTTTTTCTGCTTATCTGGGGCCTGGTTGCCTAACCCAGGATGCCTAGACCTCCCACTCCCCATCCAGCTTGTTAAGATTGTCCAGTGGAACATTGCATTCCCAGGCCAGCCAAGAGATGTAATCTCTGTGTAGTGTTCCGCTTACACAATTAAAATCACCTTTTCCCTCCTGTATCTGACATTCGACTAATGGTCAAACTCTCCTCTCCAGTACCCTAGCATAGATCTTTCCAGAGAGGCTAAGGAGTGTGATCCCCCTGTATTGGAGCACATCCTCTTGTACCCCTTCTTAAACATGGGGACCCCCACCCCAACCTGCTAGTCCAGAGGCAGCACCACAGATCTCCACACAACATTGTAGAGGTGTGTCAACTGGGACAGCCCTACAACATCCAGAACCTTTAGGAAGTTGGTGTTTAACTGCCTCAGAGACCTTGCTACCTGTGATGGATGAATCATCCACCTCGTGTCTAGGCTCTGCTTCCTCTACAGAAGATGTGTCAGTAGGACTAAGGAGGTCCTCGGCGTATTCTTCCACAGTCCAACTATGTCCTCAGGTGAAGTCAGCAACAGCCCACCCACACTAAAAACCACAAGAATAGCACACTGCTTTCCCCCGCTGAGTCATCTGACGGTTTGCCAGAATCCCTTTGAGGCAGTTTCATGGCCTCACCAAACTCACCAAACTCCTCCCATACCCTAATTTTGGCGTCAGCTACCTCACAGGCCACATTCTGCTTGGTCTGTTTGTACCCATCAGCTGCTTCTGAAGTTCCAGAAGCTGGAAGGACTCCTTCTTCAGCTTGATTGTGTCCTTCACCTCCTGTGTCCACCATCTGTTTCCGGGCTTACCACCATGACAGGCACTTTGCAGCTGCAGCTCCTTCCGGCAGCTTCAGCAATGGAGGTGCAGACACAATGTCCCCAACCTCCCTCAAAATGCTGTTGAAGTTCTGCTGGAAGTGGGAGTTAAAGCTGGGAACACCTACCAAAAGCTTGCAATATATTTAGGGGTTCTGGGTCTGTCCAGCATCTTTTCCCACAACTTGATCCAACTCAATACCACTTGATGATCAGTTGACAGATCAGCTCCTCTCTTCAACTAATGTGTCCAAAATGCAGACGCAATGATACGATTACAAAGAGATCATTGACCTGCGACCTAGGGTTCCTGGTCCCACGTGCCCTTATAGACATCCTTATTTTCAAACATGGTGTTCATTAAAAAACTGTTATTTGTACATATTTCTGTGTAAGTTCTCAGTCATCCAAGTCATGGTAATCTAAGGAGCGTGGAAAGAAAAGCGTCTGGACTTCTTTAAGTTTCTTGAAGACGTTTCACCTCTCATCTGAGAAGCTTCTTCTGTTCTAAGACAAAATGGTGGAGAGAACAAGGTATTTAAGCCCTAGTGGAGGTTATCCCTCAAGAAGGTAATTGACCCAATATTGATCATGTGTCTTGTCACATGAACCAATGTGTGAAAAAGGGTGTGGGTCATTATCAGCACAGGTTTCAGGTGAAGGCACCTGAAACCTGACTAGAAGGCCATTCCTCCTAGTCATGTCCCTCCAGGTCTCGCTGTCATTGCCAATGTGAGCACTGAAGTCACCCACAAGGACAACAAAGTCACCCAGTACAGCATGCTCAAGCACCCCACACAGCAACTCCACAGCTTCTCACCAATGGCAACTCCAGACTAGAACAAAGTCCAGCCACTCTCCAGGAGACTGTTTTCAGAACTTGAGCTGTGCACTGAGTTGAGCCCAACTATACCTAGTCATTATACCTCACACACTAGCTCAGACTCGAAGGATTCCCAGCTTTGATAACCAGCCTCGATAGCTAGCCACCTGGCACAATGCACCCGATCCCTGTGGCGTCTCCTTTGGGTGGTGGGCCTACCAGAGGGTAGGATGGGATCACACAAAACCCTCCACCATGGTAAGGCGGTGATTCACAGAGGTGAAAATTCAATGTCTCTCCACATAAATATTAAATTAATTAAAATTAAGTGTGCCTACTCCTTATACACCTCTGAACTCCTTTCAACACAGCTTCTATTTTAGATTGCTCCAGAGAATTTTGTGCTGATCACTCCAGCCTTGATCTGAAACTTCACTACAGACATAAAAGCAAACATCTAGTTCTGTAACCTCATTTTCATGGCCAGAGACATTACTGCTAACTCATACCAATGTGATCTTATGTCATCACCCAACACACTTGCCAGACTGCTTGTGATGTTGTTTTTTTTATTCAAAATTAACTTCAGCTAGAAAGGTTTAGATACACTTTAAAAAGAAACCATTAAATAACATAGATGAGATCAGCTTAAAACTAGCAGTATACTTTGAACCTGAACTCACAAAGGATTTTGCCTGACGGATTCACTGTTAACAGCAGTTTATCGCCAGTAGACTGGCTAAAACCCCTGGAAACTGAGATCCAGATGTTTTTAAACACAGTGGTGGACTATATGTATATTTGATTGTGGTCAGCTTCAGATGATTTACCTAAACGAGCTGCTCCGAATTTCCCAAAATCATCAAACAGCTAAGCCTTGCAGTGATTTTTGTTCCTGAATACAATGTGTTACCACCTGTGTACTGCAAAGCATGCGCGCATATACAAATGCTGTGTGTTTGCATCAAAGAGCCTTGTCTACTTCCACTGGACTAATTCCCTCTGTAGGTATAGATATTTTGGCCAATGACAGTTAATTTTTGTAACACATATTCCTGTTTTGTCTTGTCTGTGTCTGTCTGTGTCTGTCTGTCCATCTGTTTGTCTCTCCATTCATCTGTCTGTTTTTTTGTTTTCCCAAAAATCCTCCTTTGGCCTATAAAATGTTCCCTATTTTCTGATGTTTTCCTTTTATACTATTATTTGTTTCATTTACAAATTCTTGTCACTGTAAAAAATGGTTGATATGTTCTATATATGATGTGCAATGCTCTCATAACATTTATTAATATAAATCTTGGCAATATTTTCTACCATTCCATCTATCTGCCTCATCATAAAAATGCTCATGTTTTCATATCTTATTATGACTGACCCTTCATAACCTTTAACTGTGCATGCCATCCTCATGTAGCCACAGGTTATGAGAAGTCACGTAGCCTCAATAACATCTCTGGGATGTCAGGCGTCCCGCTGCGCCTCACTCCCATCACCAATTCCACCTTTGAACCCTTTGAGCCGCCTGGCCTCAGGCGATGTCATTCACCCATCCCTTCAATCTTGTAGCATAGCCCACAGATAGCCACCAGATTTAACAACAGCAGCAGCAACAGTAACATCTAGAAAGATTTTTTTGTCTGATTATTTGTTTTTGCTTTTTTTGCATGGAAAAAAAAAGCCTACACACAGGAATTACAGTTTTTCCAGGCCGCTCTGTCATTCTGCATTCATGCCCTGTGTTTTGTTCTTGATCTGAAACAACAATAAATGCAAGTTCATGGAGCCCCTAGAGGCCCCATTTAATCATTTCAAGAAAGATTAGCTGAACCTTACTGAAATAAATGTGGCAAATTTGCCTTACTAACATGAATAGAGTTTAGTTTACAGTAGAATAATAGAAGAGTTAGTTTACCTCTAGTTTTTCCTGTGCTACGCCTTGCCTGTACTTCAACTGCACTTGTACATCAACACTTTAACCTTGGCACCTAAGAGGAGTTAGAAATCTTCTAATATGAAGCCTAAGAATGCATACAGTGACACACAGACACCAACATATTACAGCAGCATGTGTGTTTTTACTCCAGAATAAGAATATACACTAGCCTATAAGTGACTTAGAAGCAAACGTATTTTGTATTTAAATGCCCCTTACTGTAGCTCCTCTGCAACTTAAAGCTGAAAGTCATGTTTGCTGTAGAAGGTGATGTGCTAACACATCATCAACCATTTAATATAGCCGAAAAGAGACAGGCTCCCATATATGTCAACTCCAACACCAGCTTCTGAGCCCTTGTGCCCTTTCTCCTGCTTCCTGGTAATTAATATAGAAGGACCTGTTAGTATGGTGGACAAAGTCCTGTGGTTTTTCATTTGTCCCTACCAGTAAGGAGTTATAATGTACAGACATAATGTATTTTCCCATAACAGAATTGTACATTATGCTGATTTAACCATGCAAGCACTATTGTGCAGTCAAGCTAGTTACAAACTCATTATACATAATAAATGTAGGACAAACATTATAGAAAGTTTTACACAGCTAAAAGTACAAAGCAGCAGGGACAAGGACAAGGGATAAGTGCTCCCTGTGGTCTTTACACACACACATATATAGATATATATAAATATATCATTGGGCAATATGATCTTATTACATCTGCTTGAGCCATCAGAGATGATCACTTTCTTGTTTCTTTGTCTTTGTTAACTACTTTCAAAAAGAAAACTACAAAGAAAGCTTCTTCCCCAGACTGGGGTCAACGAATTGACAGGACTGTAAGCTAATTGTCCCCTTGCATCACCACAAAATGCATGCTCTCATGTTTATGTGTAGATAAAAAGAAACACATTGAAGCAGTGACTTTTAGTTTGTAGGGGTTAACCCTGACCACAGTGAAGACATGAACTTACTGGAAGAAAGAAAAGAAATCTTCCAACTAGCTGTTTCTTTCCTTTCTCTGTATGTGGAAAAATGTCCTGCGATAGACTAGCCACCTTTCCGGGGTATTCCCTGCCTCTCTCCCAGCACTGCAGCACCCCTGATGCTTAGGAAAATAGCTGGATGGATTTATCTATAAAAGCTCCAGACATTGCAGCTGCACCTGAGAGTTTGAAGCATAGTTTTCTTTAGGCTTATGTTCACCAGACCACCACCATCACTGCTGCTGCACCATCACTACTATCACTGACTCTAATGTGGCCAGTGGCAAAATTTTTAGTTTTCTCCCCATTTCGCTTCTTGTTCTTTCCCTGTTTTTGCCTGTCTTTTACTCCTGAACCCCATCCTACCCTTCTTCTCCTGTCCTTCCATCTCTTCTTTGTTTTTGGCTGCGGCTGCTCAGTAGGAGGTACAGTGAACGGCTACTGGAGTGACAGCCCATGGTAGAAGAAAAGCAGATGCCAAAAACCACACAGGAAGAGGACAGCAAACAAAGGACGGACAGAGAAAAAACACAATTTAGACAAAGTCCGCATTTTATGTGCATGCGTGCCCAGACCTGCAGCTACCTCTGTACTAAAGCCAATAAATTCAGCAAGGAAGAACATATCTCCCCTCACATGTTCTTCTTGATTCCTGATGAAGATTTTTGTGGAAAAATTTATTTGACTACATTTGGAAAAAGACGGTCTGTTGGTTAAGTTGTATCTTTTTGATTCCCCTGTGCTCAACTCCTGCTCTCTCCTTTTTTCTCTCCCAGCAGAAAGTAGAATAGAATTTTTCATTTGTTTAAACATCAAAGAAAAATCAAAATGATGCAAATTTGCTTTAAAATTCAGAGAGTATTTAGAAAATTGCACCAAAATAAGTGTACAGTGGGAGGTATGTGCTTCCTGTTACTTTTTTACATTCAGACTGTGAGTTACAGAAGGTGAGAGCACTGCTTATAGACATCATTTGTGAATGCTCATGTATGTTTTTGTTTGTTTTTTTAAACAAATATCTTGTTTATGTTTAAATGTGTGTTTACTTTCTTGCCACAGCAGTCTATAGTCTGGCTGCTAAGTTTGGAGCTATGGCTAGAAAGTCTGAGCTTACCTTAGACTGGAAAGTAACAACTCCCAGTTTCATTAGCTAATATAGTGTGGGAACATGATGACAGCTTGTTATTATTTTCAGATTAATTTTCAGGTTAGTTAGAGGTGTTATCGGATTGGTCTGTCTGTATAGGGCTAACTGAATCCCGGTTTTGAATATTTATGCTAAGCTAACTTCGTTTATCACCTGCTGGCTGTTTTTCAGGCACAACTGCTCAAGCTGCCGTTGGCAAGAAAGTGATGCACAGATTTGTGTAGCTATTCTATGTGTTTTATGTCAGGCAAGGTTTTCTATTGTTCCCGTTTATGCTCAAACCCTCTGTGGTGCAGTAATGAATAACTTGGATATTTCAGTCCACTGGGGGATTCATGAAAACCAGGAACACATTTACACACCTCATTTCATCCTCTCCTTTTCCCAGCATCCATTTGTACAGAGTGCATCTGTCACGTTTCCCCTTCGGTTTCTTTTGTTGTGACAGTGTATATATGTAAAGTTTGTGTTGTAGATAAACCTGCATGGGTTTCTGTCACAATCAATAAGGATGCTAATTTGATAACGTTTTAGTCTCAAGCCTAATGGCACTGTCTAGATTACCACACGTGCGTGGATGTATATGTTGAGGTACTTACATATGCACTAACAAAAGCATGCAACACAAAAAATGGTCACCTCTTTGAATGCAGGAAGAGGTCGATGGACATTATGCATGACTAAATGCTACGATGATACTGGTCAGACCAGACCAAGTTAGGTACTGTAATAGGGCAGGGCGAGGGTGGGAAAGTTTATTTTTGCAGGATGGGGAGGGGTTATGTCTTCTACTGCTGCTTTCTTATCACTCTTGAGAGACTTACAAGGTAAACATTAACAATTGTAGCTTTTTCTTCTTTTTGTTGCGTCACAAAGAGTGTTCTGAAAGCTGTGTACTTATCAGATATATGCAAAAAAAGTAACAGTAACTGTGAACTAATGCTAAAAAATCCAGCTTCTTCCATCATAGCTCCATTTTTCCCCGTTCATCTTTTAATTTTGTGTTCACGTCATGTGTCCCTTTCCTGTTCTGTAAACTGTAATATGTCCAAAAGACACATGTCTCTGTAATGCAATAATTCGCTGCACCTTCTGAACAAAGAGCAATTCCTAATTATCCATCTTTCCTTCAGCAGCATACAAACAATTCCCTTCTTTTGATGTCCCAGTGACCTGATGTCCCTTCTTTCTTTTCCCAGTAAAGAGGAAAAGAAAGTCCATGAAGCCATCCCTGTCATAGAATCCATAAATATATGGATTTGATTGGTCAAAAGGGCCACATCTACAGTCAGTCATAATCAATCCATGACTAACACATGCAAGAATCCTATCAATATAATTTAGCCAAGATGACAAATTGTTAAAAAAGATGGAGATTTATACTGGTCTTAGGAAAGTAGTTCATTGTATCTTGTAATGTTTTTCTGGATGAACCACAGACTATTTGATTGCTTCGTTTTAAAAGTCTCATGATTTGTGAATTGCTAGTGAGAACCATCATTGCTGGAGAAACGCTCAAAAGTTAGAAGAGTGTTTCCTGTGAATTGTCGCTGGCTTTTTCTTTGTGTCATGTTTGTGATCTGTGTTTGCTCCATCTACTCAGGTATAGCTCTCGTAACCTGTGCCCATCTGTATCTGGTCACCCATGCTTCCTCAGATATGACAAACTGAAGCACTAGAAAAAACACTGAAAAAGGTTTTCTGTGAATACCATGTGCTCTGTAGTAGGGTTCCTTCTACAAAACTGCTGTCCTTGCTTTGTTTTTCCGAATGTGCTCCCTGTCTTCTCCTTGTATTTCTCCTCACCTTTCTTCTCTGTCCCAGTAACTGTATCTCACTTTCTATGGGACACCATCCATCCATTCTTCAAGCCAGAAAACTGAAGCCAAAAAGGAAAACGTGTAAATTAGAGCACCTTCGCATTGGAAAAACAAAAACTATTGGCCTGACAGTGGACTTCGCTGAGGATGAAGATAGGAATGGACAATAAAAAGAATAAAAAAGAGGGTAATGATATGTTGTAAACAGATGCAGATGAACAAATGTGTTGAAAACTCGTGTCCTGAGTGGATTGTCAGCTGAGCAGCATCAAAGAGAGGAGATGGAGGAGGAAAAGTTTGGGCAACACAGAAAGTGTTGGAGGAGGAAAGAAAGAAGCACAAATCGCTTCTCCATGTAAGAATGTGTCCCTCACTATTGCTCTCTTGCACTGTTTGCTTCTTCTGTGTACTTCCTCACATACTGTGTTTCGGTGTGACATTGTGTTATCTTCTTTTTTTATATTGTGTTGTTCTCATCTTTCATAGCCTTTGTGAGCACCACACCTGGGTCAAAGAGTGTTTGTGAACACTAACTATGGCTTATTCTATCCCACACAGGTGCAGGTCAATTATAGTTTGTCATTTGGCCAAACTGCGGCCAAATTAATAAATAAGGCAAACACTGCATGTCTGATGGTTAAAGTGGGATTAATTTCTAAAAATTCCAAAACTACTGTTATTTGGCCAAGGTCTGGTCTGTGCTTTGCGGGACACATCAGCTGAGATGTTCTGCTTTCAGTCTGAATTCCAACCCAGTCCTGATTGGCTGCAGTCCTCTGCTTTGAGCGCTGAATCTCTTCAATTTCACTTTCAGTCTCCGAGCTCAGTGTCTCTCAGCTTCTTGTCTGTCGTATAAGTATTTGTTCCATCAGAGGTGTAAACAGTCCCCCTCTGCATATTGTTACATATCTGTGTGTATGTGGGTCACAGAAAGAAACATGTGTGACATCCATGCTCTGTGGTATCAGTGTCCTTGCATGTTGGCTGGACTCTGTAAGCTTTGTGATGAAATCTTTTTTTCTCCTTTGCTTTTCAGTGTGTTTGGGCTATTATTTCCTTGCGTTGATGTGTCAGGTTTCAGTTTCCGTAATGTACAAACAACTTTTTACAGCCACCACTGGAGATCAAACATAAACAAATCTTTCTCTATTGTCTAACATAGATAATAGGTAATGCTAAAGGAACTCTCACAGCGACTACACTACACTAAAAAATCTGCAGCACAGGGGCAAAAACAGTACAGAGCAAAAAGGAAGGCAGATCCACAGAGAATGGAAAAATAAATTCAAGCGAATGTGTGAGGTTGGAAAGGGACACTGAGTCAAGGAAAAGGAGAAAAGCGACTTAAGTGAGAGAGATACGATCCAGTCATGTGAAAAACTAAGTACACCAATTTCTGCTTAAGTAGTAATTAACAGCCAGGTGCTGCTAATCAAATCCGATTCAGTGTCAACAGCGTGACCACCTTTGTAAAATGTTCTCAATCTGCTGGCCTGGAGCATTCAAGTGTTTGTTCATTTCAAAAAGGAAAGACATTAGTAACTGCAAATACAGACACACATGTCGGACTCCACAGGCTCCTGTTCGATTAAATGTTAAAGTATGCCGTGTAATGATGGGCAGGAAAAAGCCGCAAGTGTGGCTTAGCCCAAAAAGTTGAATTTGTCACTCATCCAGGTGACGTCTTCAGTCTCAGCTGACTGCAGGTTTCCCAACCTTATAAACAGCACATTTACACAACGACTGAAACCAGCACCACTGAATGAACAATGGGCTGGGAGGTCAGTTCCTTGATCATTAATATGCAAATTGGCATGACCATTGATCAACAACCTCTGATCAAAGCTCATTGATCAAAGGCCATCAATCAATGACCACAGAAGAAGTCACTTGGATGAGTGACCAAACGTTTCTCCCACTGAAAACGCTACGTTCAGGTCAACAGAATCAACCTTTTGGGATTTCCTTACCTGGATGATTGAGCATACATCAAGACAAGTATGGCTTAGGTTTGCAAAGTTGCATCTGAACAGATCACATAAATTTATGCACTTGGACCGACAGACCAAAGTGGAGACACACCGCATTCACCGCATGATTTGTATGTCATTGAATGAAATAAATATTTGATCGCCTACAGTCAAGGCAGAGTTCTTGCTCCCAGAAATTGGTTGTGTTGGTGGTTGTGGCACACAGATTATAATCAATCAATCAATTGATCAATCAAAAAAAATGACAGATACTCCTACTTTCGGTTTATGTGACTAAAGCATACCTATCCACATAATCAGATTATTTCATTCCAACCTTGCTTACCCTATTTTATAGCAGATATATATTTTACAAGGTCCTCCTTTGCAAGAAGGCACACGTAGAGACCCATCTTAAGTTTGGGAAATGTTGCAAGGCAACCAAGGCAACAAAGAAGACGTAAATATAAGTCATGGAGTTTTTCTTGATTTGTGATTGATATTCTGTCTCTATCAATTAAAATGACCATAGAAATGAGAGAATGTCCGTTTTTTTTTAAACAAACTTTTACATTCAACAGGGGATCAAACAGTTGTCCCACCCACTGTATATAGCAAGTATTTTAGAGTCAAGTTTTTATGTCTGATAACTAAATCCTGGCCCAAATAGGGTTGTGCAACAAATCAACATCAGAATGGCTGAAAAGGAAAAGAATTAAGGTTTTGCAAACCTAAGTAAACTTAAGCAACACCATAAAGAAACATGGTTCAAAATTCCCCGAGAACAATGTGAGAGACTGATAAAGGCAATTGCTTTAAGTTATAGCTGCTTGAAAGTTGTTGTAAAGGTACTGAACCATGGGGTGTACTTAGTTTTCCACAGGAAAGGCAACTGACAATTTTTGGAGGGTAAAAAGAGTTAAATTCAAAATGTATCAAGAAAAAGCAAAACTCAACCATGTACTTAAAAAAAGAGAGAAAACTTTAAGAAAAATCCAAAACATATTGAACCTTAAAGATCCAAATAAATTCACTTCCCATTGTTGCTGAGCCTTATATTTCTTTGGTAATTGAATTGATATCATATTGAACTATTACTCATTCCATCAACCCCAAGACTATCATAATGTCCCTGATTGTTTCTCCAAGAATGTATAAATCCTGATCAATCATGGTTCAGATTATTTGGATTAGGGTTGAATTCAAAGTGAAGTTTAGTGAGAAATGAATGCTTAATAATGCCTGAGGTGGGAAATTGTATTTCTGAAATATGTAAGTAATCATCTGCTGGACTAAGACATTAGAGAAATAATTATTATATGTCATTTTTTTCCCAAAAAAGGTCCAACAGGAGGCTGTCTGGGAGAATCACCCAGAAGCAGTTTGCTCTTTGTTTTAGTCATCGTAAAACAGGAGTGGTGTAGGAAAGCAAACAAAACAGCAAATGAAGCATGGATATAAATATCAGCTCAAACTGCGCGCTAGGCACCAAAAGTAAAAGATTTTACAGAAAAACTTATCACGATATATTCTATTAACGTGATACTTTTGAAAATGGTCAAAGTGGAACTAAGTATGTCATTTAGTCCAGTAATTCTCCGCCCCTCCTATATTTTTGTAAATTTTCTCAAATCTTTGTCTTTTAAAAGGGTTATTATATGTGCAAGTACATCAGAATTTAATGAAAAATATTTTAAAATCACAACTTTAGTTTGTAACTTCTGTTCCAATCAGTTTAGGATAAATGCCGTTTTTCTTTTTTTTAGCAATCATTGTGTTTTTCCTCTGACACTGATATTTGTCTTTAAATACATTAAATTAATTGTTATTGATGAATACAATAACCCACAATAATTCTTTCATTCTTAACAACAATCATATTATCAGGCTAAAAATTCGTTGCTGTTATATCTGGTAGTTGCTGTGTGTGTATATTCAGTTATATACATTCAATCAAGGATTTATTGTAACCATGGTGATACCATTTTTCAAGTTTAGGAATAAGTTTGAACTGCTGGTGTCGCCAAAATACCCCAAAAGCAAAGAAAGCATTACTTACCCATTAGCATCATTACAAAGAACAAGTAAATGATATTTGGTCCACATGAAATCTGAAACGTAAAAAAGAAATGATTAGGAAAGCTCATCCATTTTCATTGTTTTCTTTAACACATTTTGTTGCATTTAGGCTTTTTGATCACTGACTATTCCAAGATCTGGTGTCACATATTTACTTCATCTCCTCACAAAATTCTCTCTTCTTTTTCCCTTTCAGTGCTGAGTTTTTAACAAACTCACCCATTCCTCTACAAGAAGAGGAAAACTATTAACTGTAAACTGCTGCTCGTCTGTCTCTGCTGATGGGATTCACCGTAGAAACTGGGAGGGAGATAGAGAGAAAGAGAAGAACAACAATGGTGTTCACAGTTCCATCATCACATGCAACCTAATGGAGAAAGTGGCTGTTAGTAAATGTAAGCCATATTAACTTGGAAGACCAAACAATTTCACATCCTCTGAACTGATTTCCAGAGCGAATGGCTACATAGATTCTCTCAGCTGAGCTGCCAGAGGGCTTCCTGCCCGATGGTCTTGTATGTGGAAACCTCGTGTCTTCTGGATGTCTTCGGTGTTTTAGTCACAATTTTATGTAATTTAGTTGTCATATTGCTTTACTTACCTTTTTTTTCAAGAGACTGCATAAACTGCGACTGATTCCCAGGAATCATCCATTATTTCGGCACTCAAAGCACTATGCAAGGTGAGGGAGTCTATCACGATGTCCAGCGACTGCTAGGCTGCCCTGTTAATCTCAGCTGAGAAACAGCAAGCTGAAGTCAATTCATACATATCAAAAAACAGCAGCTTCCACACTTATATGCACATCACACAGTCATTTATGTTTTATACTAGCTGAATCTCCCAGGAGGCATCGAGACAACATCTTGGGACTTGAAATTCAGCAAGACATCAGCATGTTAGTTCGAATGATGTAACCCAAAGACTACAGACACTTGGATGGATGCATTAGTTGAGATGAACAGAAACACTCAAAGGCACTAAACTGGCCATAAGGTCACATGGCTGTCTTCAGGCATCACTGAAGACAGCCATGGGATAGGCCCTCTTTCTCACTTGTTCCTTCTTGAGATTTTATGGTATCTTACCCGAGAACCCCGCCACCCTTAACTGCATCTCTGCATTGCTCCTCCCCTTTAGAAAATCTGCATGGAAATCTGTATTAATGGGGGGAGGGGGGCATAGTTAATTTTTCTTTCAGCATTGTTAGTGTAATGGTATCACTATCATCCACGATACGTTTTAACTACTTACTGCTAAGGAGCTAAGAAAACATGGTGGAGGAGGATGAGCACCCTCCTCTCAGAGAAAAAGGAGACCATACACACCATATCTGTTTGGAGGTGTGAGCAGGCAAACATCTTTTACAAACTATTTGAGGGACAAAAAATGGCAATGATTGCAAATTAGAAATTCATTTTTCTGACATTGTTTATCAGCATGAATAATGTGCATGACTTTTGCAAGTCACTCTTTTCTCTCATGAATAACAGGGCTAGAAACTGTTTTTTTTTGTGTGTGTGTGTGAAAATGTAATTATGTTATATGCAATAGAATGCGTACAGATAAGTGTGTAGGAATAACGATTTCATCCATTTGATTAACATGGTGAAACACCATTAAGAAAAAAAAGGTGAACCCTGTGTAGTTCTCTTTAAGATGTCTTAGGACACCCAATAATATAGCTTTCTTAAATCCAAGAGGAGTCCTCTTCAACTTTTGCAAGTATTTATTCTGCTATTGCTTCAACCTTTCACCTGGCTGCTATTCTGCCTTTTTCTTATTATTACTATCTCTTCTTCTTATTGAAGCCTCTTACTAGATTCCCTAGCTGTTAATCTCTACAATCACTGCTGTTTCCGGACACAGGACTGAAAGTTGTCCATTCAAAGATGTCATTATGCTGTGCAGTCAAACTGAAAAGGTTATGTTGTTCTTTTAGTTACTAAATATTGCTTCCAAGGTCTTGAGGACCTTCCAAAGAACCATCAGAGGTGTGGGGTTCAGGTTACTTTAGGAGAAGGTCTACTGTTGCTTTATTTGTTTGTTTGTACTCTCAAAGTCATCCAAGCTGATCAGATGACTTCACACTATGCCTCACTCATCAAGTGTTAATTAACACTTCATGAGGGGGACAGTCTGACAGATACTGAAAGATGTCATCTGCAAATGTTTGATTTCATGGTGTAGCTTGGACAAATGACTCTTTAAGAGAAATACACAACCCCATCATCACTGTTAGGTATATTTGGTGCATCTTTTTGTCTTGATCTGGAATAACCTCTTCCTTTAATTTTCACAATGGTTCAGGGACAAAAAGAAAAAGAAATACCATAGTGGAGTTTCTCAATTTGCATATTTGAATATTTGTTGGCTGAATGAAATATGTAATCACTACATTTATATTACTCTTATCCATGAGCCCATTTCATAAAACGTATACCTGGAGTTTCCACAGTTCTTGGAAAAACCAGCCTGCAAAGGTGCTGGCTACTAATGACCTCGCCTGATGAGTCCATTTATGATGTTTTTAGTAGGCTGTCATAGCAAACAGTGTACCAACTGAAAAATTAGGCTACAAGTTAATAAGTAAAAAGAGGTTGGGAAAACTGTTGTTTGAAATATTTAAAGAGAATTGTGCCAAAATACACTATTTGAGTCAAACAAAGCCAAAAACACTGTTGGAGCAGAGTATGCACACGTGTAAGACATGCTCCTCTGAGAGATAGAAAAATGATTATTATAAGAAATATGTGTTTGTTTAATTATCTGGATTTTATTTGTGCCTATCATTTTTATACTGTTTCATTCATATGAATTGCTCTGTCTCTATTATACATTGATTTTTGGTCATGATGCTGGGTAAATGGACTGGTTCATACGTATAGCGCTTTTCTATTCGAGCACTCAGAGCGCTTTATACAGCATGCCTCATTCACCTGATAACAGAAGCTATTTTTCCCATGCCTAAGTGTTTTTATCTAACATTCACTCACATTCACACTCTGATCGATGCAGTGAAGAGCAAGTTATCATCTCACCCAAGTATATCTGAAATGCAGGCTAGAGCAGCCGGGGTTTGAATCTCCCGATTAGTCGATGACCTGCTCCACCTCCTGAGCTGCATTACATTATTATTAGAATCTCTTATTTCATGAACGTCAAAGAAATGACAAAAAAGAAACTACAAAGCCATATAAAACAACTAAAGAGAGATTTTAATAACTAAAAAGACAAATAGAACACCCCTTACCCACAAATAGATCCAGAGAGTCTACAGTGATGATGATAATGACTACAATGACAGTTGGAGGCTCATAATAACTGTAAAGAGATTAAAAGTTACCTCAAGAGACAAAACAGAACTAAAAACAACTAAAAAAGAGACAATAAATAAAGTTAAAAATATCAGTAAGAGGCCCAAAACTTTAACAGAAGAAAAAGATGACCATGTTGATCAAGTGTCTGACTGCATTCTGACTGGGGTAGATGGAGGGGTAGTAGTGGGCTTTTACATGGCGATGCCTGAGGCCTCAAATTCTGTGAGTAGATTTTTTTATTCTATGGCAGACATACAGTAGGACACCAAACGTCAAATCAAAACATTATAATGAAAAACATGTTTCCTATGAAAAATGTCAAAAATGAAACATTTGAAAAAATCTGTTCATTTGAAGGCAAGCATGCACTTTCTGCTGAAATCGCTAAACTCACCTGTCTGCTTGTATAAGAGCCACAGAGCTAAAATTAGAGGCCACGTAGAAAAAAAAAGATTGATCGTTATCCTGAGAGATTTGAATTTATGTACTATATCTTTAGATTATTGCTCTCCCGTGCCTTGCTAATCAATAGCAAGGCTCTGCTTTGGAAATACTGCTGTGATATTTAGGATTAATAAAAATGTATGTATATATCCATTTAAACAATACATTTATCATTTATTGCTTAGCAGCCATGGTAGCTGAAGCTGAGGTTATGGATGATGATAACAATATGTTTTATAATAAATGTTACTTTTTTCAACATAATTTATGGTGATTCTTAATTTTGGTGGTAACCCAGGGTATCTCAGGTATATAGTATTCTATCTAAACATCAGGATGTTAGGATGCTGCAGTATTCACTCCAGAATGTTTCAGTACTAAATCCGAGGAATTCAGTGAGTACATGTGGCTCTGTGGAAGTTAACTTGGAGGCTTGAAGTAGATTTTTCTGCTCAATGCGCTAGCATCTCTGTCTTTAGTGATATTGCATGGGATAAGAAGAATTGGTTCCAGTGTTTTACATCAGTTGTTTGCTTAACACTGTATATTACTTCAGCTTCAGCCGTGTCAAAATGAACAAGAGGATTTTATGTACTGTATTGTAGCTACACCAAGATAAACATCCATCCATTAGTTTTTAAAACTTATGCCAATTGTACTCACTGGAGACGTGATCTTCTTTACTCAAAGCCTTTTTGATTGGAAGGTAGCATAACAGAAGCCCTGATAGGTCCTCTATGCTTCTCTAATAAACTGGATTGGATGTTTTATTTGATGTCCAGAGGCTTGGAATACTTTTGATTCTATTCCAAAACTAACACAAGTCCAAAAACTGCATAATGGGTCTTTGACGAGTAAAATTTGTTGTGATATTTGGTTCTCTGACATCTTCAGTTTGTGAATATTTTAAATTGTTGCTTTTCAGTGTTTCCAAAATTATGTCTAATCCATACACGTATGAAAAAATGCTTCGGAAGGTTCTGGGACATGAACACAAACCTGTATCACAGTGAGCTTTACCCCATCACCTCATCACCATCGCCAACCACTCCCATAATTCATCAGCCATGTTGTGTCAACCAGGCCACCACTTGTCCACTAACCCAGTTAAAAACATAATGAAGCATTAAAAGCCAGTAAAGACTGTTAGATTGTAGAAACACATAGGAAGTTCTTAGGATAAAGTAATAATGGAACAGGGCTCCCTGGTTTATGTTATTTTTCAGGATTTCCAGTCATGTACATATGTAGGTATTAACGTGTTTGTGTATAAAAACATGTACGACAGGAATGCTTTGCAGACTGAACTAGACAATGTCCCTGTGCCCAGATGGACCACTAAGCTAGCCAATAGTGCTGCTTTTGCTTTAAACCCAAACCATAATGAATTTTGTAGCATATACAAGTATTTTAAGTAGTTAGCTAAGTCAGGTTTTTGGTTAGTTAATCCAGCAGGGCTGAGACATGGGTTAAAATGTCAATGTGTAGTGTCCATTTGGCCCCATCCTAGAAGAACACAACATTAGAAAGTGAGTGGTGTGACAGGGCTCAGGTGTGGTAAAAAGTCTTGTGTGCAAAAGTTTAACCCATGTAGAGGTTTACATAAATATTTTAGGCTGAGGTAGCAGGATTATTAAGACAGTTTAGGTCTGGACTAGATAAACTTTTTTTGCAACACTGTGGTGAAACTCCTTTTGCTTGTCTCACCAAGTCTAACCGATATACATGACTTTCATGATCTGAATTCAGATTACGAGTGCCAACACTGAGAAAACATGGATAGTTATAGATTCTAAATTCTCTTCATTTCAGTATGGTTAGTGAGTGTAGCCAGTCTGACATGTATTATAATCAAGTACTGCATCCAGTCTTCCATGGAAATGAGAATTAACGAGGTTGCTGACATGTTTCTAAAAAGTAGAAAAGTGTTATAACAAATAGACAAAGAAATATCACCCTTATCAGTTTTGGAGGATTAGGTTAATTGAAAGCACCCTTTGGCTAGTTCAAAAAGTATCACGAATTAAGTGTGCAAGAGAAGAAGTACAAAGTCAAATAAAAGTCTATGTTGAGGGAAAGGCAAATAGGTTCTGTGTTGGTCAGTCAAAAGATCATATGACAAGATGAAGACATGTTCATTCCAAAATCTTCATTGTGGTGGTTTCTCTTTTCTGAAGCATTAAAATATTGGTGTCTGTGACACTCTGAGAACTGGGGGTGTCGTGTACACCACGTAGCTTACAGGCTTGTTATAAATTCATAGGCCTAATAAAAGACAGTATCAGGATACAATAGTGATTTAGGTTTTTTTGCAAACAGATCTACAGCTTACCAGCAAACTGATAAGACACAGGCAGTTCTGACAGCCAGTAAAGTCAATACACCATCACCACTTCCAAAGCTAATTGCTTGATTGCTCACAGGATATTTAGTAAATTTTGGCTAGCTCTCCAAGTCTGGGTAAAGTGATCTAAAATTATATGTCGGTGTTGTAAGGAACAAAATTAGATTTTATATTCAAACGATCTGACTGGCTAGATTTGATGTAGCATTTTTGTACACTGGCTGTATTAACTGGTCTAGCTTTATTAGATTTTTTTTTTTTTAAATAAACTGGTAAAAACAGACTAACCATGGTTAGTTACTCTGTCCTAGTGCCATTAGGCTATATTATTTGGATAATTAAGTCCACTAGCTTAAAACCATAAACAGTGGTAAAAAAAAAAGAAATAGACTTTTATGCTTAGCATGGAGAACTTTTTGTGTCAGTTTTAGCATGTTAAGGTCTAAAACTTCAATCCATATTTTCTGCAGCAACATCTCCATTCCAGGCGCCTTGCCCTTCCTCTATCTTAAACGTCTTCTCCTCTTTGTTCTCTTTCTTTCCTGATGCCTTCCTTCAGTTACTTTAAAGAAGAAGCTTTTTTTTTCTTTTTGCATCCCTTGTTCCTGTATTTTTGTATTATATTTTTGGAGGTTAATTCCAAATGCATGCATGAGAAACATCAAAATAATGACGTTAACATAGTGTGAATGACCTGGTGAAGGGAAGCCTCCCCTCCTTTGACAAAAAGCAGTCCTATTTTCTTACTTTTTGTGTCAGATTTTAAAAGAAATTTTGTAACCAACAAATAATAAAACACTGTAATTTATAAGCCACAGAGGCAGCAGCACTATCTGAAGACAAATACGGTTTAGATGGTTGACGCACCTAATTCAGAAGTCTCTGAACATGAAAGTACAAAAAAATAAAGTCAGTGTCTCTTGGTAGGGTGGACTCTGTCACAAAACTGTGTTTCTGTCCTCATGATGAGACATCAGCAGCTAAAATACTATTACTATTTAAAGAACTGCATCTGCTTTAGGTCGTTTCAGTTCCACTTTTCTGTTTTTTTTGTTTTTTGTTTTTTTGCTTTTTTGTCGATAGTGAAAAGGCAGAGCTAAGAAAGATGACTGCAACAGAAAGATGAGAGGCTTCCCTACATTAATGAATTGGGTTACACTCTAAAAAGCTGATCTTGGATCTGATTTTGTTGTCACTGCAATGGAAAGAGAAAAAGAATCAAGAACTGTATAAAATATATCTGAATGGAATGTTAATTATTTACCTTTTTCTAGTTTTGAAACATGTAAAAGAACAAAGGTGAAACTATGAAAATTTAACATTTGTGAAAAAAAAATCTGCTGTCAAACAGTATGAATGCTGTGAATGCTGATTTGCCTGAGCAGCTCTCCTTCCGAATTGATAGATCATCCTTTAAAAAAAAGAATAATACTAAAAACAAAATAACAATAAAAAAAAAAATCATTTAAAAAAGTTAATAAAAGAATTAAAAGCAAATGCCAAACTTTTTTACATTTGTCCTGTTTTTTGTTTTTCTTAATGATTATTTGTCATTCAGGCACACATCTTCATGTCACATTTTACAGCGTAATGTGTAGATAAAAGATTGCCATAGCCACTGTGCTGTCACCCGTTTGCTTTTTGGACACTATCTTTTAGAACTTTAGCGTTCTGGCTGCTTTCATGTTCGTTTTTTGGACCCAAAACAAATAACACCAATAACAAAAGTAGTCTAAAGGTCCACTACAAAGATGAGGCCTAGCAGTTAGCAGCTATAGCTGGTTTCGGGACAATTGCCAAGCAAAGACTCACAGCCTTGGGCAGCCACTTGAAGAGGTATATAAATCAGCTGCACTCTAATGAGCCTGCCAAGGTGTACTCTCAGTGGCAGCAAAAAAGACTGGAGCCGGAGCAATATTTGAAGAGCATATGGGTGAAGTATGCAACCAATAACAGCAATGCTCAGTGGCTTGTGAATCTATGAGCAGACCACAGCAACCTCCCAGTGAGCATCACACTGGCTGACATCCAGGAAAGGGTCTCCAGTATGAAGAGTTGGACAGCACTAGACCCTGATATGATTCACGCCTACTTGCAGAAGAAGCTGACTGCACTTCATGAGTGCATAGCTGCACAAATGAACCAGCTGCTAGTAGATTAGATACCCAGAATGGCTAACTGATTGCTGGACAGTCCTGATCCCAGATGATCCCCACAGGTCCCATCCAACTATCAGCCAATAACCTGCCTCAGTACAACATGAAAGCTCCTATCAGGCATTATAGTGGCTGAGGTGAACAGGCATATGGCTCAATACATGAGCGGGGCACAGAACGAATTAGGCAGGAACACCAGAGGGGCAAAACACCAGCTACTGTTAGATAGAACAGACTCCGAGGCCAGGCTCACCAACCTCTGCACCGCCTGGGTTGCTTACGAGAAAACCTATGCCTCATACCTGGATCCTGGAATGCATAAACTGTACAAGATCAACAGGACCCTAAGAGCCTTTATCTGTATTTAATGGGCATGTGCCGAACAACAACTAAAGGGCACTTAAGCCAGTTGCTCAAGACACCATTAACTGCAGGATTTACCAAGGAGATGTCCTGTCCTCACTGCTGTTCTGCATAGGCCTGAACCCCCTCAATGAGATCTCTTACAAGACTGGCTATAGATAACTATGAAATGGAGCAATTGTCAGCCACCTCCTCTATATGGATGACATCAAGCTGTATGCCAAGAGTGAATAGAGTAAACCTCACTTCACAGATCCACCACTTGAGGATCTACAGCAACGACACTGGGAT